CCCCCCCCAAAAAAAAAAAAAAACCCTACAAGTTAATAGGAACCCGTCTTTGATTTTTGAAAAAAAAGAGGGGAAAACGCGGAAAAAAAGAACGCCATTAACATTCTTCCCCCCCCAAAAAAAAAAACCCTACAAGTTAATAGGAACCCGTCTTTGATTTTTGAAAAAAAGAGGGGAAAACGCGGAAAAAAAGAACGCCATTAACATTCTTCGTATTAAGATGTTTGATTATTATTTTTAATAGGAACCCCATTCTTGAAATCCCTCCGAAAAACCAAGAAAAAGAGGGGAAAAGGGGGGGGAAGAAAGAAAAACGTCATTAGCATTAATTCCTCGTCTTCACGGCACTCGGAGAGATGAGCAAGCAAAACTAACGTAATGTCTTTTCTCTATCTTACTTCGTTCTGATTCCTTGATGCTTGCTATCGCTAGCAATATACTGCTAATATATTGCAGGGTTTGAGTTATGCTTTAAATGTGATGTTGTTACTTGTAAATGTTTCTCATTTTTCATATTTTTTATTTAATAAATATTTCTGTATCTCTCATCTGGTTTAGGAAAGTTAGCATGATTCAATTAATATTAATATTGTTTTCAGAATGTAATGTGGCTGAAAGTATAAATGGGAGAAGTCAATTGTAATTTTATTCTCTAGTTTTTTCCCCTTTAATTTCCTTTTTATGGTTTTTAGAATAATAGGTGACAGTTTGAAATTTTACTGACTTAACGTATAACAATAAAAAATATTATAAATTAATCATTCTTCCTACTTTAAAATTATGTGACAGACATGCGGTGGCCAGGGACAAATATCTGGATCTCATGGATATTTTGTTGAAATGTTCACTAAAGAGACAAAATCGTATTACTTAACTTTATGTCATTTTTAGTATCTGCTCTCATGTAGCATTTTCTTATTTCGCAGCATCGAAGGGATCATCTTTTCCCAATTCCAATCCTAGGCCACCCCCACCTCCCGCCTATGGCCATAAATTAGTCCTGCAGTGGCCAGGGACCCTAAAACTCAAGCAGCCAAATGCGTTCCGAACGGTTACAGAGTTTGGAGATCAAGTGGAAGATCGGTTATATGTCCATGGGCTCTGAGCCGTGAACAACAAGCACAAGCCTCTAGAGATAAAACCAAATCAACACCCAGTTCCTCCAAGTTAACTTACAATGCAAATGGTAAATCTCTTTCCTTTTGTTTTACATCGTCAAGTTCATTTCTAGTATTTTCTACTTCTAACAAGACATCATTTTTCTCATGAGTTAAGTTAGTTATAGATGAATTCACGTTATCGTTTTCCAAACTTAATTTTTCATTGTTTTCTTTTAATGTAACATTCTCTTTAGCAATGATATCAAATTTGGAAACTAGCGACTCATGATCGGATTTTAAGTTAACATGCTTACTTTTCAAATCAATAAAATTTTGTTGCAACTTCTTATAGTCATGCAATAATAAATCATATCCACGTGCGAGTTCATCAATAGTTAATTCATCATCATTATCGGACTCGCATACCTCACTAGGGCTACCGCCTAGCGGTCGTGTACATGATGACGATGCTCCACTTGAACTTGAAGTAAAATAAACTCAAATAATTTTATTCTAGCTTATGAAATGAGAATCAAAATAATATTACCTAGAAGAAAAGAGTTTAAGAAAACTTCTCTAAGATCAAGAGAGATAGAGAATTAATGTTGAATGTCCAAAATGAATTTGATCTCCTTCTCTTGTAAACCTCTTTAGCATAAACCAAAACACTCTTAATAACTTGAAACAAACAACCCAAAACACTTGTAAAAACACTTAAAAAATGGCTAAAATATCAAATTGGTATATTTATACGAATGCTTTTGCCAGCTTGGTATTTTTAAAAACTCCGGCGACGACAAGGCATTAAAGCTCGTCCTTTTTGTCGATAAGGAACTTTTCTCAAAACTCCAGCGAGAAATTTTACATTTAACCCTCTTATCTCCCAAAATTATTAAATTTGTGCCCTCTCTCTCCTCCTCCTCCTCTCCCATTCCCTCCCATACCTTCCTCTTCGACGACGCCAGCCCCATCGCCGGTGGCGCCTCCTACGACCCGTACGAGGGGTCCGACGATGACGACGGTGATCTCTCCGGTAAATCCTCCTTCAAATAAACTCTCAACTTATCCCTATTCTCTATCTTCCCTGAGCTTAATCCTTCGTTCATCTTCTCCGCTAATTCAGCCACTGAAATCCCCGCAGGCGGTCGAATCGCAAGCAATGGCCCTTGTGACTGAACCCAACTACTCGGAATCTCAACCCAAGGCTTCAAATCCTCAAGATAAACGTACTTCTCCTCACAAGTACCCACCATCCCATGATCACCGACCAAAATTATACTAACCTCCTCAAAAATCCCCCTTTCCTCCAAACCCTCAATCAACCTCCCCAAAACCCTGTCCAAATGCACCACCGCCCTCGTAATCTCCGGGTGATCCGGCCCGAAAACATGCCCCTGAGCATCCGGGTCCGAGAAATACAGCGCCGTGAACACCGGGACCTCCTCCCTCGGCAGATCAAAGTAGCTCAGCACAGCGTCCACCCTCTCCTCGAAAGGAACGGACTTGTTGTACTTGGGGCAGAAGGAATCGCCACGGCACTTCCAAGATCCTTTCCTCACCTCGCCGCCCGCCCAGAAATAGACCGCGGCGGGGAATCCTTGATTGGCCGCGGTTTCCCAGATGCTTGAAATCCCTCCGAAAAACCAAGAAAAAGAGGGGTAAAAGGGGGGGGAGAAAGAAAAACGTCATTAGCATTATTTCCTCGTCTTCACGGCACTCGGAGAGATGAGCAAGCAAAACCAACGTAATGTCTTTTCTCTATCTTACTTAGTTCTGATTCCTTGATGCTTGCTATCGCTAGCAATATACTGCTAATAAATTGCAGGGTTTGAGTTATGCTTTAAATGTGATGTTGTTATTTGTAAATGTTTCTCATTTTTCATATTTTTTATTTAATAAATATTTCTGTATCTCTCATCTGGTTTAGGAAAGTTAGCATGATTCAATTTATATTAATATTGTTTTCAGAATGTAATGTGGCTGAAAGTATAAATGGGAGAAGTCAATTGTAATTTTATTCTCTAGTTTTTTCCCCTTTAATTTCCTTTTTATGGTTTTTAGAATAATAGGTGACAGTTTGAAATTTTACTGACTTAACGTATAACAATAAAAAATATTATAAATTAATCATTCATCCTACTTTAAAATTATGTGACAGACATGCGGTGGCCAAGGACAAAATATCTGGATCTCATGGATATTTTGTTGAAATGTTCACTAAAGAGACAAAATCGTATTACTTAACTTTATGTCATTTTTAGTATCTGCTCTCATGTAGCATTTTCTTACTTCGCAGCATCGAAGGGATCATCTTTTCCCAATTCCAATCCTAGGCCACCCCCACCTCCCGCCTTTGGCCATAAATTAGTCCTGCAGTGGCCAGGGACCCTAAAACTCAAGCAGCCAAATGCGTTCCGAATGGTTACAGAGTTTGGAGATCAAGTGGAAGATCGGTTATATGTCCATGGGCTATGGGCCGTGAACAACAAGCACAAGCCTCTAGAGACAAAACCAAATCAACACCCAGTTCCTCCAAGTTAACTTACAATGCAAATGGTAAATCTCTTTCCTTTTGTTTTACATCGTCAAGTTCATTTCTAGTATTTTCTACTTCTAACAAGACATCATTTTTCTCATGAGTTAAGTTAGTTATAGATGAATTCACGTTATCGTTTTCCAAACTTAATTTTTCATTGTTTTCTTTTAATGTAACATTCTCTTTAGCAATGATATCAAATTTGGAAACTAGCGACTCATGATCGGATTTTAAGTTAACATGCTTACTTTTCAAATCAATAAAATTTTGTTGCAACTTCTTATAGTCATGTAATAATAAATCATATCCACGTGCGAGTTCATCAATAGTTAATTCATCATCATTATCGGATTCGCATACCTCACTAGGGCTACCGCCTAGTGGTCGTGTACATGATGACGACGCTCCACTTGAACTTGAAGCAAGTTTGTTAGAAATACATGGTTCAAAAGCATTAAGCAAAAATTCAAACACTAACTTGTTCATTGTAAACATCTTTGATAATAATTACTCCACTTGGATTTCTCCAATATGAGCACAATATAAGCACTATCAATAACTTCCCATAAATTGATATTTTTAGATCTAACAAATAGTTTAAATCTAAAACACCATTGAGCATAAGGAAAATTGATGAATTTTGGAGCAATATTAATATCATAATCAAAGCAAGGTGAACCGTGCATATCCATGATTATATTATGCAAGCAAAATAAAAATAAATCTCAAAACTAGATTAGCAAGATATGAAGGCTTGGATCTTTGACTCTAGGCGATTAAGCCGCAAATCAAGAGCACCAAACTCTGATATCAAATAAAATTATCCTAAAGGGGGGCGAGGGGCGTGAATAGGGTAGTATGTTAATCTAATCCGATATTAATGTTAATTTAAATTTTATTAACTAATTATCCTAGCAATTAAGATATACAACAATTATATGCAAGGATATGAATTTAACCAAGGGCGATATAAATATGAACTACTAAACAAATGAGATAGTGCACAATGAGACAATCAAACACACAATATGATCACGGAGTTCGGTCCTTCTGACCTACGTCTTCGCTCCCTACTCCACAGGAGAACTTCACTATCTCAACCTGTTTTCAACGCTAATCGAAAATGTTTACACCTCCACACAATTTCTGTTTTCTAGCTCACCGAAAAACTTTCACAATCACTCACAATGTAATCACACACTACACCCTCTAAGTGTTGGCCTCTCACGTACCGCCTCCCTCAAGTGTTCAGAATTACAACATATCCGTAAGCTTTACTACCGACCATACTCCTCTTGGTATCGACTACATCTCTCATCACACACTCCTTTCGGTGTACTTGTGTATTACAATGTGATCTCACAATTAAGCTAAAGTAACAAGATTTTGTTCTCTAAACAAGATGAGAACCAAGTTAAGCTCACTTGATTACACCCACAACCCAAATTACACAATGTGTGAGAATATTTTAAGCTCAATGGTTGTGTGTGAAACAATAAGTAAAATAAACTTAAATAATTTTATTCTAGCTTATGAAATGAGAATCAAAATAATATTACCTAGAAGAAAAGAGTTTAAGAAAACTTCTCTAAGATCAAGAGAGATAGAGAATTAATGTTGAATGTCCAAAATGAATTTGATCTCCTTCTCTTGTAAACCTCTTTAGCATAAACCAAAACACTCTTAATAACTTGAAACAAACAACCCAAAACACTTGTAAAAACACTTAAAAAATGGCTAAAATATCAAATTGGTATATTTATACGAATGCTTTTGCCAGCTTGGTATTTTTAAAAACTCCGGCGACGACAAGGCATTAAAGCTCGTCCTTTTTGTCGATAAGGAACTTTTCTCAAAACTCCAGCGAGAAATTTTACATTTAACCCTCTTATCTCCCAAAATTATTAAATTTGTGCCCTCTCTCTCCTCCTCCTCCTCTCCCATTCCCTCCCATACCTTCCTCTTCGACGACGCCAGCCCCATCGCCGGTGGCGCCTCCTACGACCCGTACGAGGGGTCCGACGATGACGACGGTGATCTCTCCGGTAAATCCTCCTTCAAATAAACTCTCAACTTATCCCTATTCTCTATCTTCCCTGAGCTTAATCCTTCGTTCATCTTCTCCGCTAATTCAGCCACTGAAATCCCCGCAGGCGGTCGAATCGCAAGCAATGGCCCTTGTGACTGAACCCAACTACTCGGAATCTCAACCCAAGGCTTCAAATCCTCAAGATAAACGTACTTCTCCTCACAAGTACCCACCATCTCATGATCACCGACCAAAATCATACTAACGTCCTAAAAAATCCCTCTTTTTTCCAGACCCTCAATCAACCTCCCCAACACCCTATCCAAATGCACCACTGCCCTCGTGATCTCCGGGTGATCCGACCCGAAAACATGCCCTTGATCATCCGGGTTCGAGAAATACAACGCTGTGAACACCAGGACCTCCTCCCTCAGCAGATCAAAGTAGCTCAGCACAATGTCCACTCTCTCCTCAAAGGAACAGACTTGAACTAGTAGCGCCAAGCGGAAGCGCGTAGAAGGAGATGAGATGAGGGCGGGGGAGGGGGCAGGGGAGGGGAGTAGGAGGATGTAGGTGAGGGCAAAGAGGGAGAGGAGGGCGGCGGTCAGGGAGAAGAGAGGGGTTCGGGCGGGTCTCAGGAGGAGAGGGACCGTGGGTTTTGGAAGAGGATTCATCGAGGGAGAGAGGGCGCAAATTTAATAATTTTGGGAGATAATGAGATTAAATGCAAAATTTCTTACCGGAGTTTTGAGAAAAGTGCCTTATTGAGAAAAGTGCCTTATTGGCAAAATTTCTTACCGGAGTTATGACTGAGTTAATTTTGTTCCATGTTAGTGTTACACTATGTTTTTGTTTTGTCATGTGTTCGATTTATTTATAAACCTCTTTGATAGTCAAACCTGTGGACAAGCAAGAACAAGCAGAAATCGGTGCAGGAAAGGCGGATGTGGTCAAAGAGAAGAATGGTGAAACAGTTATAGTTGATGAGAATATTTTGAGAGAAACTGAGGACGAGGAGGTGCACGTAACCAATATATATTTTACGTATTATCTTGATTTTGTTATTTCTATTTTGCATATTATCTGGATTTTGTTATTTTATATTTTAATGCGTACAGCTTATGAGAATTTAGTTGATATGAAAATGAAGAATCAATTTTAGCAATGATTCGACTTACTTACATATTGCAACTATAAGATTGGCATGTTATCGAGTCAACTACTATACAATGACAATGATGATGAAGAAGATTCTCAGATGGCAAGTTCACGTAACAAACACAAATTCTGTTTATGTTATTTACTTCGTCTTTTCCCAGTATCCTTCTGTAAACATTAATTTGGACTTTAGACATCACACTTGGTAATCTTAAGAAATTGCATGGCTTATTGTTTGATTGCCTTCAAGTGCACAAATGTCATCCTCCACAACCAAAAATTACAATTTAATTCAAATGTCGAATTAAACTTCAAGCCCTTTACAATCACTGTAAGTGGCCTATGTGACGGTTTAATAGGCTGCATGGCTTCCTATTTTTAGCCCGGAAATATTCAATTATTTTATTTGCTATCTGGTAAATGACGAAAGTAAGCTTTTATGAATGTAGATGACAATGGACGTGGATGGTGGGATGAAGACGGAGAAGCTGTCGACAGCGAATAAGTAGGATGCAGGAACGTATGGGAAGCGATGGGATCAGCTACATTGGGAGGTCGAATGGCATCAGAATGGAGACTGGATCTTCATGAGAAATAGCCAAGTAAATCTTTCTATTTTGTAATGAAAGATTTACTTCAGTAACTGAGAATTTCAATGAATTTTCTAAGAGGAGCGTACTGTAATTATTGTGCCGATGGTTGGTTCTACCCCATGTGAGTCACGATTGAGATGTTGCAACTCTTTTTGTATGCAATTAAAGTTGTAATTATTTGATTTAAAATTAAATTTTGTAATTTGCAATTGCAGCTATTAGATTTTGCTAGCAACTTTGCATAGACAACTTATTTTTAACTATTACAAAATTATTAAATTTATTAATTCTTTTTGCACCTCCAAAATATTTATTTTTCGAAAAAAAAATCGATGGTCCTCATTACTAAGTAAATTTTCACTTTAAGTTCTCCAGAAATAATTTTCACAAAATTATATTTGTAAAAAAAATTATTTTCATAAAATAATACATTCATAAAAAAAATAATTTAAAAATATATTTTCACAAGTAAATTTCCTTAAAAATATATCTTTTCAAAATCTTTTTTTGAAATAAAGTGTTTTTGGATAAATATTGTAGAATTTTTTGAAAATAATATTTTCACAAAGTACAATAGTATTCAAGGGAATTTTTTTTATGGGAAACAATACTTTTTCAAAAATACTACTTTTCAAAAAAATAATAAATTTTTTCAATTTAATTTTCCCAAACAATTATATATTTTCTATAAATAGTTTTTTAAAAATTTCCTAAACATAATATTTTTTAAAAAAGTAGTTTTCCAACGAAATATTAAATTTTTAGAAAATAAGAATTTTATAAACATTAATATTTTAAGAAATAATTTATTTTATAAAGATATTTTTTTTCAAAAAATAATATCTTATGAAACAATAATATCTTATATTTTTAAAATAATAATATTTTATAAAATTATTTTTCTAAAAACAATTATCTTATAAACCCTGAGAATTTCGAATTAATTTTAGGATTTTTTAATCTCATAATTATTGTTTTTTGCAAAATTTATAATAAAAATTAAATTTTTATGTATATTTGAAAAAGGCTAAAAATCAATTTAATTTCAAAAATTGTAAAACTAAAAAAGTCGAATAAAAATAAACTTTAAATAACATTTAAATGTAAAAAAAGAAAAACCAAATTGATTTCGATATTCATTGATATTATAATTACTATTTTTTAAAAAATTTAGAAACTAATTTATTTTAAAATTAGTATTAAATTTAGGATAACTTCAAAAATTGGAACACAATGTTAATTTTGTAATTTAATTAAAGTTATATTTTAAAAAAAAATTAAAAACTAAAGTTATTTGATGAATAAATCTCAATTTCAAAAAAAGTTAACAAATTTCTTCACATCTCTGGATCATTTCTCCTCCTCTCCGTCGGTGCAGCGATGCAGTTCTGGAGTAATTTCTCCCCTCCTCTCATCAATAATTTTTTTTTAAAAAAATACTTGCAATTGTCATCGAATCGATTTCTGTTAGAGTTTCTTTAATGGGGGTACTCTAGATTTTACGTAATGCGGTTAGATTTGATTTGTTTGCGCCCTTAAATTCTCTTGTATCTTCCACAATTTAACAAAAGAAGATGGTAGAGTCAACCTGTCTATTTTTTTTTTAAATTATTCCACAATTTAACTAAAATTATCCCACAATTCTATTCACGATTGCAATTTTTTCGTATTATAATAGATGCTGAAGTGAAGCCCGGAGGATCGTATAAGGTCGAACCGGAGCACTACAGTTATTTTCGCATCACAGAGGTGAATGCTGCTCTTGATTTCATCACGGGACGAGTAGATAATAAGATCACGTTAATTATTGCCTTGACCCAATTCAAACAAAAAGTACGGGCCTCATTATGACTTACGGCCCAATCTCAGCAAAGCCCAACACAGACTGGAAGGCTTTTACCTGTATATATAGGCTGAGTCAGAGGTCCTTTTGGTAATTATAAATACAAACCCTACACTCTCCCCCTATAAATACCTCCTCTAACCTCTCAAGCCCAAAGTCCCCATTTCATTGCCGGCAGCGACGAAGAGTTCGAGATCTTCCGGCTTTTTGATTTTCAATTTTATTTTTTTTTGCAAATATCTATAATTTTTTTTTCTTACCTCTTGTTTTATTTACTCAGGGGCTATGATGCGTTAAACTACCTATTTTATGAGGGGGGGAGCGCAACTTTCTCCCCTCTGATTATAAGAAACCAATGGATCCTTCTGAGCCTTCCGTCTGTCTTTTAAAATTTTTCATCAAATGTTTTTTTTTTCTTTTCATAATTTTGTTTGCCTCCGTTGATGTGATGATGATTTTTTTTTCCGGAAATATACCGTGTCGACCTAAAAAAAATTATTCCAGATTACAATTATCTGATCAACGGTTTACTTTGCAAATTTCACTCTTTTCATTTGTTTAATTATTATCGTCGTGTACAATAAGCCGATGCTCTGGATCACGATAAGGAGGAAGGAAGCATGGTAGGGTACACGGAAACGGAGGAATGGTCCTCATGTCTGCTCGCCTTGATGCCTTCGGGCTTTGATATGGTGGGCCTGGATTCGACCCACATTTTCTTTTTTTCCACCTTAATTTTATTCGTATTTTGGCATCCTTTTTGCGTTGCTATTTTATTGCAACCATTTCTTACTGCCTTGATCCTTCTTGTTTCCCGATTGATTTGAGTCATTTGGTGCCTGGATGGATTTCTATTGAGGGTTCAGACTTTTGGTTCATGTTCTCGAAGTTGGGGCTTGGTTTTTATCTAATGCATCTTGATTCTATTTGTTTGAAACTTAAATCTCTTACATCTTCACAATTTAACAAAGAGGATTTTTTTTAAATTACCACACACTATTTTCTAAACCACCATTCTGCATCTCCATCTATAGTATATCCACATACCCAAATTAAGCTGTTGGAGTTTCCCCTTCACTAACTACACCATTGGTAAACCCCTTATTTTTTCTTTGTACTTAAATTATATAACATTCATTACGATGAGAACTCACATGAATCCTCTGCCTACCTTGAACACCCAATAAAATAAATAATGTATTACGCCATGTGGTTACTTAATAATGAGATACTGTTATTATAAACAAATTAAGTAAATATTAATAATTCTTAAAAATGTATTACGTTGCCCAAGTTTCCACTGCAAATTTGTTAATTGTTTATTCCTGGCCCTAAGAGATTATCAAAAATTAATATTAAGAGTTGCTTACATTTAAAAAGTTATGTCAGATGGCTCTTATAGTCTGTTTTATAGGTTAAGGTTATCAACATATTTTGTCTCTGATATATATCAATTATTAGTAATAATTTTGATTTATCCAAGTATATCCTAATATATTTCTAGACTCTTGTCTTGCCTTTTGCTCTTTATTACATACCAACTTGATACCACAATTGATGTAGACGATAAATGCATTACTGTAGAATTGCTTAGAAAAAAGATAAAAGGAAGAATGATTGATTTTGCTCAATCAAATATGAAAAGAAGAATGAATAAAGTATAATATTGATATTTTTTAAATATTTTATAGTAAAACTTAATTTTTTGATTAAAATTAAGAATCTTTAAAAGAGATTTTCATGCAAAATGTTTAATATGCTTATGTGAATGATTTTATTATATTAAATTATATTAGAGTCACCATTAATCTTTAGTATTAATTTTTTTTATTTTAAGTCTATCACTAATTAAGATGTCTTATATTTAATGACTAAGATAAATAAATTGAAGATCGATGATTTGATCCGATAAACAAATATGTTATATAAAGTTTGATATATACAAATTTTAAAAAATAATATAGCGTATGGAAGTATATAAAAGTATATTGATCTCAGTTTTATACACAAGTCTATTTAATAAATTTTTTTAAATATTTAAATAAAATTTATGGCAAATATAATAAACCATATTTATAGATTTTAACTCAAAATGAATCTTGCTTATTTTATAGTAAGAAAATAAACAAGAAATAAACATTTTTTATATTTAACCACGTGTACGTGCACAAGAACTAGTGTGTGTGTATACCAAAGTTTTTATCTACTCATGTTGTCTAGGAATTCTTGCATGATATGAAGTAACTTTTTATGGACAAATTTTCAAAACCAACCCGTTTGATAAACTAATTGTAAAAAACGACCCGTTTCAGATTTATTTAGAGAAATTGACCTGGTTTCAGTACTGTTGCTGAAACCAGGTCGATTTTTCTAAAAAACTTTACGAAACTTCACGGGAGTTTAACTTCCGTGAAGTTTTTTCTAATAACAAAACTTCACGGGAAGTTTCGGAAACTTTTTTTTAGAAATCGACCTGGTTTCAGCGCTGAGGCTGAAACCAGATCGGTTTTTACAAATAAAACTGAAAATAGTCTTTTTTTGGGAATAGTTTATCAAATGTGTTGGTTTTGAAAATTTATCTAACTTTTTATATATATAAATGAGTGGATAGAAACTTTATTGGACCAAGACTTGATGTTCACTTAAGTTGATATACGTTCTACTCTTTTATCTTTTTGTTCCATGCTCATAAGTATTTACATTTTATTAAGAGTTCCTATTTATCTTTTAAAAGTTAATGCCTTGGGTGTTTATGTTATTTCATAAATTTGCCTTCCAAGTAATCCGGATTTCTGAAACTGTTCTTCAAGCTGACAAGAAAGCCAAGCGTGATGAGTAACTTTAAGCGGTCCGGGTGGGTTTCTAAATGTGCAGTTAGTTTATGCTCAGGAATTTCGATTCTGTAACTCTTCTTCAAGCTGATATGAAAGCCAAGCAGAAACAAAC